CCCCCAGAGGCAGCACCAACACCAGCTCCAGACCCAGGCTCTCCAGAAACCGAAGGGACACCCTCACCCCCAGACGCAGCACCCCCAGACTCCGCACCAGCACCCCCAGACTCCGCACGACCAGTACCAGCCCCCGGAAGACAAGAGTCCTCTGCAACCCGCGGCTCAGCTCCAACTCCAGCACCCCCAGAACCAGAGACCTGTACAGGGACAGTCGCAGGACCAACCTCCCGAGAGGGAGCACCTGCAGGAGGCGGCGAGGAAGACTGTGGGGAGGGAGGCTGTACAGGGGGGGCTACCGAAGGGGGAGGGCTAGCCTGAGACACACCAGACGGGGCTGGACCAGGGGGGGAGGCTGTACCGGGGGAGCAGGCGGGGGAGCGGCGGTCAGGAAGAGAGGGGGGGGAGGGACCGGGAGACCTCGACTGGGGTACCTGACGTAGTAGGGGGTGGACTCCTCGAAACGGACGTCACGGGAGTCAAAGAACCGGTGAGAGGGAGGGTGGTAAAAGGTGAAGTCAGAGGAGTCCTCAGGGAAACCAAGGAAGACACAAGGAACGGCGCGAGGCGAGAGCTTGTCCGCGGAGGTGTCGCGGACAAGAGCCAAGCACCCCCAGACACGAAACCTCGACGCGACACCAGGGGACCCTGTCCAAAGACTGGTCGGTGAAGCCTCCGGCCGAGAGACGCGTGGCCAGAGGTTCAGCTGGTGCGCGGCGTACCTGACCGCGTATGGCCACAGGAAATGGGGGGCACGGGCGTGAGTCAAGGAGGTGCGGGCAATCTCCATGACCAGGCCTATGCGACGCTCAGCAACCCCATTCTGTTGTGGGGACTCCGGAAGCGTCCAGGACTGACGAATGCCCTGTTCGCGACAGAATCCAGCGAGAATGCCGGAGCGAAACTCACCCCCGCGGTCGGAGTGGAGACAGCTGACACGACGACCACGAGTGTCCTGGGTGGTAAGCAACCACCTGATCAGCGTAGAAGTCACCTCAGACTTCCTCGCCAGGGGGAACACTGTGGTGTAGCGGGAGTAGTCGTCAACGACCACCAAAAAGAAACGCTCACGCTCAGGGCCAGGGCGAGGAGAGGGGCCCCAGACGTCCAAGTGCAGCGTCTCAAAAGGCTCGGTGGCCGGACGAAGGGAGGAGGAGTGAGGGGTGGCGCGCAGCCTACCCTCGACGCAAGGACCGCACGGTGGTGCAAGGGACGGCGGCAGCGACGGCAAGACACGCGGGAGACCTAAGACAAGACGCTGACGAGACATAGCGCGAAGACGAGGAGGAGAAGGGTGCCCCAGCCGGTGGTGCCACAAAACGGTGGGGTGGGCAAGCGACCGACAGGAGCACGACGCAGCGACCGGACTAGACGGAGGAACCTGACAAGACACAGCTACCTGGGGGGACGGAGCAACCTGGTGAGACGCGAGGACTCGAACGGGGGGCAAAACAGGGGCCGGGGGCAGGAGGGGCGGCTGTGGCTGCGGCTGCGGCTGCTGCTGCTGCTGCCGCTGCGGCTGCTGCTGCTGCTGCAGTCGCTGCTGAGCGCGCGGGCCAGTGTGAAGAGTGTAGAGACCGGAGCCCGGCTCAGCAGCAAAAGTGGCGAGGGGCTGGTAAGAGTCCCCGTCAACACACACCGCAGTCTCTCCAGAAGGCTCAAACCACACACCCACGTGCTGACTCACGAGGGGTCGCACGCCCACCAAGTTCCGGGAGAACGAGGGGACGTGAAACCCAGTGAGAGACCCAGAAGGAGCAGCCGGACACGGCAAGGTGGTAGTGTGACGCGCGGTGACTGGTCCCGAAGTGGGATCAGCCAGCGCCACAGAAACAGGCGCAGGAAGAGGCGTAAGTGTCGTGCTGTCACGAAAGAAGCAGTGAGAGGCTCCAGAGTCCAGCGTGAACGACAGCGAACCGTCCTCTGAGGTAGCCGCTGGACTAGAGTCTACACAAGAACCTACACTAGCAACAGGCAACTGAGCAAGGCTAGCACCTAAGCTAACAACACCAGAGTAAACAGAGTCAGAAACACTAGAGTCAACAACAGCATACATAGCATGGGGATTACCAATCAGATCAACTAACTGCTCAGCAGACATGCCCCACAGAGCGGAGCCGTAACGCTGAACAAGAGGCAGCCAGTCAGGGGCAGGAGCACCAACCCCGTAGACCAAACGAACCGTGTCAGTGAGCTGAGCAAAGCACTGACCAGGGGGGTGAAACCGGCCACAAGGGTGGCCACGACGAGTGCCTGTCAGAACCTGGTAGGTGCAGGGAGTGTAAGCAGCACCGCGCTGGGTCTGACGCAGCCCCGACCCTGGAGCCAGCTGCTGCCGCTGCTGCTGCTGAGGCTGCTGGGAGGAGAGGGGCTGCTGGTGCTGCAGAAGCTGCTGCTGACGCTGAGCCTGGTACCACGCCGCTGCTCCACCAACCGGGGCAGGAAGTACAGGAGGCGACTGACGAACTCGGGCGTCGCCACCACCAGCAGGCGCAGTGGAGTCACCAGTCACTGCACGAGGCGCCTCTCCAGGCCCTGAACCTCCACCGCCGCCAGGCGCAACGCCACCTCCACTACCTCCGCCTCCACCTCCACTACCACCACCAGAACCGCCTTTCTTGCCACTCCTACCGCGGGACCGCGACGCAGTCGTAACAGCAGCTGCAGTCGCGTCAGTAGCGGCAGTGGCAAGTGAGGCAGTAAAGGTGGGCAACTGCGGGACTGTGCACCCGTGGAAGAGTGGGGGGGGCACAGCACCAGAGGCAGCGGCTACCGAGCGAAGGTTGCTCTCGACGTCCTTGAGTGCAGACTCAAGGACCTCGACGGTGAGCTCACTAGGGTGCTTCAGCAGAAGCGCGTCGCGAACGGAGGCAAGGCGGTCAGGGAGGCTAGTGGCGATGAAATAGATAGTAATCGCCATAGGGGGAGGAAGCAGTGCAAGCTGTGCCTCAGTGCAAGCAGCGCGGTAACTAGCGTCGAGCGAGCGGAGGTGAGCGATCAAGTCAGCAGAGCGCTCAAAAGACGCTAGGTCAGGAAACAGGAACGGGAGGAACAGGCGGCCAAGAGAGACAGCAGCGGGAGTAGAGTAGCGGGCCTTAATCGCAGTGAGGTACTCAGCAGCGGTGCGAACCTGAGTGAAGTGAACCTCCTCAGACTCAGGGAGGAGGGTGCTGAGCGCGATGCAGGCCGCAGCGTCACGTGACGTCCAAGCCGTCTGGTCAGCTCGCTGAGTGGCAAAGCGGGCTCTAGCGGCGTCGTCAGGGGCAGGTCCTAAAGGCGTAGGGTCGGGGGGCGCAGGTAGGGCACCAGTAGCGTGCGCCCAGAGGGTCTCGCCTGCCTGGACCTGACTCTCTAACAGACGGCGAGCACGAAGAAGCCAGACGGAAAAATCAAGAGGTCTACCGTCAGCGTCGAAACGAAGGACACGCTGAGTCGCCATAGTGAAAACGAACGCGAACGGAGAGGGAGGGGACAGCAGTAGGTGAGAGGCAAATTAGGGTTCGGCGGTACTCTGGGACAGGGGAGGAGCGGACGCCACAGCGGGCGTGACAGCGGGAGGTAACAGGGGACTAAGCAGCGGGGAACGGGAACGGGCGCAGCGGCGGGCGATGGCAGCGCGCTCGGCAGCAGGGGCCAGCAGCGCGCGCAGCGGGCGACGGCAGGGGGCGCAGCGGCGACGCGCGCAGCGGCGGGCGACGACGGCGGGGCCGCGGCGAGGCGCGCAGGGGGCGGGCGACGGCGGCAGGCGCGGCGGCGACGAGCGCGGTCGCGAGCGACAGTGGCGGGCGCTGCGGGACGGGCGACGCGACGGGGGGAGAGGGCGGGAGCGACGGGACAGGGGGAGGGCGACGCGACGGGGGGAAAGGGGCGGGTGCGACGGGACAGGGGGAGGGCGACGCGACGGGGGGAAAGGGGCAGGTGCGACGGGACAGGGGGAGGGCGACGCGACGGGGGGAAAGGGGGGGCGCGACGGGACAGGGGGAAGGCGACGCGACGGGGGGAAGGAGCGGACGCGACGCGACGGGGGGAGCGCGACGCGACAGGGGGAAAGGGGCGGGCGCGTCTCGAGGGGGGGGAAGGCGACGTGACGGGGGGGGGCGGTAACAGCTGGAACGATACGAACGAGAGCGTGGGTCGTTGCTAGGCTCGGTAACAGCTGGAACGATACGAACGAGAGCGTGGCTCGGCGCTAGGCTCGGTAACAACGAGAAGGAGACGAACGAGAGCTAGGATCAGGCTCGGGTGGTACGAACGGAGAACGGCGGAACGGGATCCCACAGGATCCTAACCTAACTGATACCATGTCAAAATGAAGAATGGATGATGCATTGATGTTGGTTGGGGTACATATAGCTAACCCTAAGTTTTGTACCCCCTAAGACAAACCTCACTATAGGCTACAACATTTGACACTTTGGCAGGCTACCTTGCCACTGCCTTCACCATGGCTGCTGGTTTTGCTTGGCTGCTTGCATGATTGACGGCACACGTGCATTCGCTGGACAGACTACCTGTCATACGGTATGTTTATGTAACAAGGCTCGTGGGGACAGACGATTCAATGTGTGGGTGTTTCTTATTGTAAGTCTACTGCGTTTCTAACATGCTAGGTAAGGAAGCACAGAAAAAGGGTACCTGAATGAGATCCCTGCTTTTTTTTTGCAACTGGTTGTTATTATTGACAAGTTTCGCAGAACCCATATGGTTAACAGGCTGAAGTCGCTGCTGAGCGAGTGCTTGTGCTGTGAATCAATGGGCCCTCCTGCTTTGCGTTGGGATATTTGTGAAGGAAAGTGGAAAACCTAAACATTCATGTTGCAAGTGCGCATTTGGTTACAGAATTTGTTGGGCTGAAATACACTTTATTCCGCACCTACAAGGAAGACCATCTCCTAGAAACAAAAGGCTCAAGCAGCTGATTGGTTGGCTTCCAGTAGTTGGACTACTACCAGTGCACTTTACGTTTCCTTTTTAACTGACATCAGTTATTCATTCCGCATCTACAGGGGAGGGGCATCGTCAACGAACGGCTCAAACAGCTGATCGGCTTCTGACGGTGCAGATGACTCCACAGTCACGGCGGAGTCTGCTGTTACCACCACTTCCTCCTCTGTATTGTAGCTCGTCACGGCATAGATTGATGAAACGACCTGCAGGAGGGGAGCAAGAATAAGAAATTGGAAGGGGCGAGAATACAGGTCCGAAGATGATTCCAGTGACGGCCGAGCCTGCTGTTTCCACCACCTCGTCATCTTAACTGTAGCTCGTCTCAGCATAGATTGATGAAACAATCTGCAGGAGGAAGACGAGGTCAAAGAATGGTGATGACAGGCCAGAAGGACATTCATACACTTATTGCCGAGTCTTGATTGTAGCTCTTAACGGCATAGACTGGTAAAACGGTCTTCATGATTAGACGGGCAGGAAACACAGGTAGTGAGTGAAGCATGATGCCTGCCAGGCAGGCCAGACGAAGAACATTCCACACAGTAGCTGCAGAGTCTGGTGCTGTGCTGCTGCCTCCACCACTTCACGGCCGTGATTGAAGCTTTGGTGGCCGGCGCAGGCTGATGAAGTAGTTTGCAACATGGCAGGTCAAAAGGGTAGTGAGGTGTGGGCGCGGGTGTGGGCATAGGCATGGTTATGGGTCTGGGTCTGGTTCTGGGTCTGGGTCTGGGTCTGGGTCTGGGTGTGGGTGTAGGTGTAGGTGAGGGTGTGGGCGTGGGTGTGGGTGTGTGGTTGTGGTTGTGTGTGTGGTTGTGAGTGTGGTGTGAGTTTGAGTGCGAGTGGGGGTGTGGTGTGAGCGTGAGTGTGGGTGTGGGTGTGATGTGAGTGTGGGTGTGGGTGTGGGTGTGGGTGTGGGTGTGGGTGTGGGTGTAGGTGTTGGTGCGCTATACAGCGAGCGTACAGTGAAGTCAATGTGAGTGGGAGGGAAAAGGGAACTTTTTAGGGACATGGAGGTGGGGGGAAGAGGGGGGGGGGTAGGGTGGGATGTGAGGGGGGTGACGGAAGGTGGGGTGTAGGGGAGGTGGGTGGTGGGAGAGCAGTGGTAAAGAAGAAAAAGGGGGCACATAAGGAATCGGCACTCACAGCAAGCACGATGCCGAAGAGCCACAGGTACTCCACCAAGAAGCCCAGCACAGCAGGTCCCACACTGCTATCGGCTAGCGGACAGGGAGAAAACCCCGGCACTAGGACACACGGAACGGAATTCGGCACTCACAGCAAGCACGATGCCGAAGAGCCACAGGTACTCCGCCAAGAAGCCCAGCACAGCAGGTCCCACACTGCTATCGGCTAGCGGACAGGGAGAAAACCCCGGCACTAGGACACACGGAACGGAATTCGGCACTCACAGCAAGCACGATGCCGAAGAGCCACAGGTACTCCGCCAAGAAGCCCAGCACAGCAGGTCCCACACTGCTATCGGCTAGCGGACAGGGAGAAAACCCCGGCACTAGGACACACGGAACGGAATTCGGCACTCACAGCAAGCACGATGCCCAAGAGCCACAGGTACTCCGCCAAGAAGCCCAGCACAGCAGGTCCCACACTGCTATCGGCTAGCGGACAGGGAGAAAACCCCGGCACCAGGACACACGGAACGGAATTCGGCACTCACAGCAAGCACGATGCCCAAGAGCCACAGGTACTCCGCCAAGAAGCCCAGCACAGCAGGTCCCACACTGCTATCGGCTAGCGGACAGGGAGAAAACCCCGGCACTAGGACACACGGAACGGAATTCGGCACTCACAGCAAGCACGATGCCGAAGAGCCACAGGTACTCCGCCAAGAAGCCCAGCACAGCAGGTCCCACACTGCTATCGGCTAGCGGACAGGGAGAAAACCCCGGCACTAGGACACACGGAACGGAATTCGGCACTCACAGCAAGCACGATGCCCAAGAGCCACAGGTACTCCGCCAAGAAGCCCAGCACAGCAGGTCCCACACTGCTATCGGCTAGCGGACAGGGAGAAAACCCCGGCACCAGGACACACGGAACGGAATTCGGCACTCACAGCAAGCACGATGCCCAAGAGCCACAGGTACTCCGCCAAGAAGCCCAGCACAGCAGGTCCCACACTGCTATCGGCTAGCGGACAGGGAGAAAACCCCGGCACTAGGACACACGGAACGGAATTCGGCACTCACAGCAAGCACGATGCCCAAGAGCCACAGGTACTCCGCCAAGAAGCCCAGCAGGGCCCTAGTTATTGGGACCCATACAGATTGGGCCTATACAGGGAGAACATATGATAGAAGTCAGCACTCACCGCCAGCACGATGCCCAACACCCACAGGTACTCCGCGATGAACCCCAGCAGGTCCCACACTAAAACCGGCAAGCAAGGGTATAAGGGGGCTGGGCGACTGAATACATGCGGACACAGGGGCACTGAGAAGGGACTCACCGCCAGCACAATGCCTAACACCCACCGATACTCCGCAATGAACCCCAGCACAGCAGGTCCCACACTGCTACAGGCGCTAGGCCACACAGCAAGGGGGTCGGGACTCACCGCCAGCACGATGCCCAACACCCACAGGTACTCCGCCAAGAACCCCAGCAGGTCCCACGTTGACTGTAAGCAGAGTGTTTATGCAGGGAGAAGTCTGTAACCAGTGCGCTGGGACGCGAAGAGAGGGACTCAGAAGGGAGTCAGGAGAACTCACCGCCAGCACGATGCCAAACACCCACAGGTACTCCGCGATGAACCCCAGCAGATCCCACTGCTATTGCCTAGCGACTGACAGTAAGAGGAGGGCATATAGTGGGGGAAAGCCGGGTGATGGGACTCACCGCCAGCACGATGCCGAACACCCACAGGTACTCCGCCAAGAACCCCAGCAGGTCCCACTGGGAACCTTCCCAGAAGTCGGGGTTGTCACCGGGCATGGGCGGGCGGTAGTCGCGGCCAGCTAGAGGGTCGTCCGTTCGGAACACCACAGCCCCTTGAGCCTTCTTCATGCTCGCCCTGCCGCCGGCTGGTGAGGGGAGATAGACGCACAGGAGAAGGGGATTTTGAGTCAGAAGTCGGGGTTATCCCCCGGCATGGCGGGGCGGTAGTCAGGACCAGCTAGAGGGTCGTCCGTTCGGAACACCACAGCCCCTTGAGCCTTCTTCATGCTCGCCCTGCCGCCGGCTGTCCAAACAAGTGAGGGGTTCAGTGGGAAAAGGGACCCACACACACACACACGAGGATGTAGGGGCAATGACAATCGACAGATACAACCAGCTAGCGGGTCGTCCGTTCGGAACACGACTGCGCCCTGAGCCTTCTTCATGCTCGCCCTGCCGCCCGCTGGTGAAGGGGTTGCGGGGAGAGAGGGAAAACACACACACGGGGAGGGAGGGAGGGAGGGAGGGAGGGAGGGAGGGAGGGAGGGAGGGAGGGAGGGAGGGAGGGAGGGAGGGAGGGAGGGGCGATGGGAATTGTGGCCTTGTTGTCACCTGGTACAACCAGCGAGTGGGTTTGTCTCCGGGCATGGCCGTACTTTTGAGTCGAATCAAAGAAAACACACACACGCGGAGAGGGGGAGAAATGGGCGATGGGAATTGTGGGCTTGCTGTCGCCTGGTACAACCAGTAAGTGGGTTGTCTCCGGGCATGGCCTGGCGGTAGTCGCGGCCAGCTAGCGGGTCGTCCGTTCGGAAGACCGCTGTGCCTTGGGCCTTCTTCAAGCTCGCCCTGCCGCCGGCTGGTGAGGGGAGTCGGGGGAAAAAGAACCAAGGAAGGAATACAGGGAGGGAGGGAGGTTTCAGCCTGGTACGACCAGCTAGCGGGTCGTCCGTTCGGAACATGACAGCCCCTTGAGCCTTCTTCAAGCTCGCCCTGCCGCCGGCTGGTGAAGGGACTGCGGGGAGAGAGGGGCGGAGAGAGGGGCGGAGAGAGGGGGGAGAGAGGGGTGGAGAGAGGGGCAGAGTGGCGGAGAGAGGCGCGGAGAGCGGCGGAGAAAGGCGCGGAGAGCGGCGAGTGGAGCAGAGAGAGGGCCGGAGAGGGGCGGAGGGGGGGAAAGCACGCAAAGGTAAGAGGGGAGGGGACCTTTGACTCGACTCAACGATCACTTTACACCTCGATCGCCTTTTCCCCGGCTGATAAGGGAAAACGGGGGCGGAGAGGGAAGACGCACACGGGAGGCTGGAACGTTTTGAGTCGAAACGACACCACACGACTCAATAGGTTTGATCGGATGCGAGATGTGCTAGGGAGAATTGGGCCGATCGTCTTCACATGACAGGTCAAGTGGTTGCACAACAGCAGACCGTCTTGAAGCACAATAACATGTTGAATCGTCGATTCTGAAGACGACGGCTGCTGAAAGCTTCGGCGGTGGGTATCTATACTCCTCTGGAAGATGATTTACCTGAAGGAGGGGAAGAATGTCGCTTAGAGTTTCTAAAAGCGACGGAGCTTTAGAGACTATTTGTAACGATCAGCCGTAGAGACTCGCAAGGGCCAACCGGACTTACCGAAGCTACATAGCGAGGCGACTCCTACAACCTTACCATCTTCCTAACTTTCATTCAGAAGGCGAAACTAGTGAACGCGCAACCTAACAACGAGCACGAGACGACGCTGCATTTGTTTTTGTTTCTGCAGTCTTCCAAATATCCAGCATTGGATGCACAGGCTGGGAGTCGAGCACACGAGTCATAAATCCGCTCCTTCAAACGCGCATATCCGAGCCGCCTGACCCGCAAAGTCATGGACCCTTGGAGCCATTGACCCCATAAGCCGTTGAACCCTGGGAACCGTTGACCCTGGGAGCCGTTGACTCCTGAAAGGCGTTGACCCCCTGAAAGCCGTTGACCCTTGAAAGCCGTTGACCCCTAAAAGCCGAGGACTCCCCTGAGCCATTGACCTCCCTACAAGCTACTGACTCCGAGAAACGGGAAACTGTCCGATCTACAGAATGCAGATGAGCCGTTGCCTGATAAACACGCGGACTAACACTCCGAAACCGTGACGTGTCACATAGCAACGAGGTGTCCTTGGGTCGATCGAAACGTAATAAACGCTAATGCGCAACCCCTCCACAAATACAGCGACTAGGAAACAGACTAGTGTCGACCACTTACGGCGGGATTGCGATGCGATCACTCTAGCGGTCGAGCCGGCGGTCACATCCAAGCCGTTGATTCGCATCAGCGTCGCCCTGTCCGATCTACAGAACGAAGACGAGCCGGTCCCTGATAGACAGACGGACGGCACGGATGCTCGTGATAGGCACACTGCTTGCGACGCCATGGCAAGAAAATTCGGAATCGATGTCCGAAATGGAGATCCTAAAGATAGAAGAGTGTTTGGCTTCTAGGGCTGGACTTCTAGAGAGCAAAAAATGCCCTCTTGCGGCACTGCCGAAGGAAATGGCGTGGTTGAGCAGAGGAGGGAGCGAAAGAGGATGTTCGTTTTTTTTTTTGTTGTTGTTCAAACCCTACTAAATCGATCAAAACGTTTTGTAAACCGCTTTCGAATGCGCAATAACGTTCTAGACCTCTATCGCTACACCGAAGAACCTCGATGACGACTTGTGGCGTGATAGGAGCGGAGGGATGAAAGTGGAGACAAAGAATATATGCTACTGAGTAACGAAGCAAACGTCGCAAATCAGAACCATCGTGGAGACTGCAGACTGGGAGGAGAAGTCAGCTGGGCGAAAGACGAAAAGTGGCTGGGCGAAGTCAGCTTCGTCGATCAAGGGGCAATCACAATAGCCAATCAGAAAAACAGCCACTCGGAGGTGTCCAGTCAGCAACCAAGTACACGTGGGAGAACCATGATCGTTGTGCCACTGCCACCACCTATTCTGTGCCCGGTATGGCTTGGTCATTATATCACAAAAGGCAAACCTTGCACATGCTTCCTATTTAAAACAAAAACAAATATATGCTATATATATACACACATACAGTGCATTGCATGCTGATGAAAAGCAAGCCCTTGGTACGCCCAATGCCTGCTTTGGGGAAATGTCCTTGTCGCGTTTCTGATGACAAAGCAGAGTGAAAGGTATTATAGGTGACCTCCCCAGTCTACTATGCGACTCTTCTAGAGCGAGAGGGAGGGGAGACGGCTCGAGGAGCGAGGATGGGAGGGAGAGGAGGAGAGGGTTCTCTTGCAATTGATGGGTCCATAGATGGGAGAGGAGGACCGGACGATGATGATGAGGCACTTTGAACAGTTGCGAAGAGTGCTGATGGTGTGAACACAGATGATTGGGCGAGCGCTGGGAAGCGGTGATGGGTGGGAAAGTAGGGGGTGTGAGGGGGAAGGGAGATGTGAAGAGGGAGCGATGTGGAGGGGGTAGGCAAAGAGGATAGAATTGGGAAAATTAGGATCATAATGTATGTGAAGAAACAAATAGATTCTAACAACAGCGTAAAGAAGCTGGAAAGCTAGGTTGACTGGGGCAGATTGAAAGACAATCACCAAAATGCATACCTGGTAAGAGGAATCGAGTTAGAGGGCAAAATGAAGTCAATGAAGTCAATGCGCAAAAGGGAGTGTGACATGCACAGTCCAATGAGATGTGGAATGTACATGCAAGAGAGGGCAGCAATGGCAGGCCATGATGCTGGTGCTGGTGCTGTTGCTGGTGCTCCTCTTGCTGGACGGCATGATTTGTCTTATCTGATTGTTGTTCCCTGCGCACGCTGCGAAAGCGAAGGTCTCTTTTCATTGTCTCGATGCGGGTCTGCTCAGAACAGGGAACAGAACGGAATAGGAAAGCAGGGGTATGTGGGGGCATGTGGGCACCTGTGGGGGGACATGTGGGAACGAGTACAGAACAGGGAATGTAGGTAGTGGTAGGTATGCATGCAAGAGTGAGTGCAATTGCAAGGTACATGGAAGTCAAATATATCATAAAGTGTATGCAAACAACATAGCACTACATATGTACGAAACCAAAATAAGGCGCAATTCAATGTTCAAGACAGAGAGGTACACACGTGGATGCGTGCGGGGGAGGAGGTGAGAACGTGCACTCTCTTTTGCAAGGCAGCAGCAATGCAAATGGTGCAATTCGAGTCGACTTAAAGGAGGAAAGGGGGCAGAGAGGAAGGGAGGAGGCAGAGAGGTGGAGAGAAGCGTACGTGAATGCGAGAGAGGGAGGAGGTGAGGGCGTACACTCTCCTCTGCATCGCAGCAATGCGAGTGGTGTTCTTTGAGTCGACTCAACACCCAAGGAAGAGAGGAAGAGAGCAGGTATGGAGGTAGAAAGACACACGTGGATGCGTGAGAGCGAGGAGGTGAGGGCGTGTACTCTCCTCTGCATCGCAGCAATGCAATTACGGCAGATTGAGTCAACTCATCGCAGCAATGCGAGTGGTGCAGTTTCAGTCGACTCAAGATGTAAGGCAGAGAGTAAGGGAGGAGGCAGGCAGCAAGGCAGGTAGAGTGAAGCATACGTGGATGCGTGAGAGCGATGAGGTGAGGGCGTGTACTCTCCTCTGCATCGCAGCAATGCGAGTGGTGCATGGCGGCATGACCGGCATGGGCAGACCCTCTAGTATGCCATCCAGCTCTGATGGGGGAGTGGGCATGGCAGAGTGGGACACAGGAGGGGCAGGGGTGGGAATGGCCATAAGAGTGGTGCATGGCGGCATGACTGGCATGGGCAGCCCCTCCAGTATGCCATCCAGCTCTGGTCGATATGCAGGGAAGACAGGGCCAATTGATGGGGGGATGGAATTTAGTGGAAGAACAGTCAATTTGCCCGTGGTGCATGGCGGCATGACTGGCATGGGCAGCCCCTCCAGTATACCTTCCAGCTCTGATATACCAGGCAGACCGGGGGCAATGCAGGGAGGAAGGGAGGGAAGATGGTGCTGGTTTTGGAATCGAGGGGAAGTGCCGTGATCAGCCTTTCCTGGTTGTGGGGATGGTTGCAACAGTGATCATTCACCCATATACCCACACACCAACTCACCACCAACAACCCCCACCCCCCTTCCCCCTCACACACCCACCCTCACCCACCCACCGGCTGCCAGTCTCCCAAGAGCCGCGTCTAGCCTCTCCTGGCTGTGGGAATGGTCGCATCAGTGCCCATACACCAACACACCCATACATATCCATGCACCCATCCACACCCATACATATCCATGCACCCATCCACACCCATACACAACCATCAACACACCCACCGGCTGCCAGTCTCCCAAGAGCCGCGTCTAGCCTCTCCTGGCTGTGCAGGGCGGCTGCCACGTGGCCTCCACACGCCTGCACTGCTGCCCCCACACCTGCTGCCACGTGGCCTTTACATCGCTGCTCTGTCATCCCCACATCATCTGCTGTCATCGGGGATGCCCGCTCACCCCCCTGCTGTTCCGTCAGTTGACCCTGCTGCTTCAGTTGCTCGTTCTCCTCCCTTTGCTCCTGTTGCTGCAGCTGATGATGCTCCTGCGGCTGCTCTTGCTGCCGCTGCTGGTTGATATGAGAGGGAAATCCTTCGTCTCCTCCTCTATTCTCCTCCACCCTTGGCCTTTGTTCCCCCCCTCCATCCTCACCTTCATTCCCTCTGTCCCGGTTCCCACTACCCTCAACCTCCCCGTTCCCCCTTCTCTCCTCTCCTCTACCTCCCCCTACCTCATCTTGTCTACCCTCATCCCCCCAAGAAAATTCCGTGGAGTCCGATCCAACTGAACCCCCCACCATTGCGACAGATTCTTGCTAGCTCTAAAAAAACGATATCAACCTACTCAGACTCTGAAAACACTAAAGTCGGACTTTCTGCCAACGCCGTTGCTGCTCCTTACGATAGAGCTCAGAAGAGAGTTGAGATACGCTCAATCAGCGCACTACGCTCATAACGAGGTGCTTATAGCGAGGGAAGAGATGGCGAGAAACCTGCACGATCAAGTTAAGACGAAAGCCCATTCACGAAGGAGTGAAAAACACGCGATATAGGCGCAATTCGAATGGAGATAATCCGAGGCTACGCAAACGCGACTCAAAAACGAATTAGGAGCATAGGAACAGGGGGCTTATAACGAGGGTGGGCGAGGGAGCGACTGGCAGGGCAACACGAGTGCGGAGATGAACTATAGAATACGAATTTTGCTTGTCTGCTCCAACGATAATATCACGATTCGCGTCGCGACACGTAGAGGTTGGCGCGGGAAGCATTTCTATGTCTGGCGGAAATCAAGTTTTTGCTGCGGTGTAGTACGTTAAATCGTGGTGCAGTGCGGAATTACGCTTGACAGGACTTCTTGCATTTCCAAAGCGTGTTCCGAAAGAGCAAGTCTCAACTTTCGGATTGTGCCTGAAAGTGCAACAAAGTCCCAGTCGCGTCGAACACTCACAATTAGACGTTTTCCCAGAACCCTGCCGATTTTGCTGTGAGATTCCACAGCTTTTACTTCAGCAAAATCGATGTTCTCCTTCCCCAGTAAATGTACGACGCATAGGTCCGATATTTCCTCCACAACTCTCCCTAATTGTTTACCGTCAACATTCCCCTATCACATTCCTTTCACCGATCCTACTAGCTTGCCGCCTCATCTAGGTCAAGCGCTCGTCGTTCAAAGCTAGAGCAGCTGCAAGTAACCCTAACGATTTGCCTACCGGCTGCTTACAGTCGGCCGTCTGCTGTCGTCTGTAGCCGGCAAGCCGTTACTCGGCCAGCATCTGAAAATGTCTAGTGATCCAGGGGATCTAGACCGGTGGAGAGAGGTGGAAGCCGTTCTACAGGAGTTTCAGCAGCACGGGCAGCAGGTCGGGCAGGAATCCGGGCAGGAACAAATTTGGCAGCAACAGGGGCAGGCATTCGGGCAGCAACCATACGGGCAGCAGTTTGCGCAGCAGCAGGGGCCGCACACGCTTCCGCAAGTGCCGCTGCCGCCGCCGCAGCAGCAACCGCCGCCGCAGCTGCTGCTGCAGCCGCAGATACAGCAGCATCAACAGCAATTTCAGCCGCAGCTGCAGCAATCGCAGCAAGTGAGAGACGCTACGGGGGAAAGCCGTGGGGGATGGGGGGCAGCGGGGGGCGGGGGAAGGGGAAGAGGCGGAGGACGCGGGGATCGGGGGAGAGGCGGGGGGAAGGAGGGGCGGGGGCGGGGCAGGGGGCAGGGGGAATGGGAGAGGGGCGGGGTGGAGGTAGACTGGGGAAGGGGCGGGATGGGTGGTGGCATGGGGGGCAGCGGCAGTATCGGTGGTGGTGGTGGCGGGGGAAGAGGAAGAGGAAGCGGAGGTGGGGGGAGGGGCATGCGAGGGGAAGGAGGCTGGGGACGGGAAGAAGGGAGGGGAGTGGGTAGCGGAGGACTGGCGGCAGCAGCAGCAGCAGTAGAAGCAGCAGAGGCAGCAGCAGCGGCTCTTGCAGGAATTAAAGGGGGAGGAACAAGGGCGGGAGAGACAAGAGGGGGAGAGCCGAGAGGGGGAGAGCCGAGAGGGGGAGAAGTGAGAGAACCGAGGAGCACAGGGAGTGACTATAGCGAGTTGCTGACAGTGGCGCGTCAACAGCAGCAGCAGGGGTTGCAAGCAGGGGCGGAGGAAGGAGGGGCGGCGGTGGAGGGAGTGTGGGAGCCTGTGGGAGGTGGCAGCTCGACGGGTGCTAAGGAAGGTACGCAAAGTCAATAGGCAAAGAGGATGGAAATACGTGTGGACGAAGGAGGGGTAGCAGTGGAAGGAGTGTGGGAGCCTGGACGAGAAGGCAGCTCGACAGGTGCTAAAGAAGGTGCGCAAAGTCAATAGGCAGCATTTGAGGCCGCATTCCGGGCTGTTACGATCAGCCCACGTCGTAACAGGCGATCGCCTTAACGACTCCCACCGGCACTGCGTGACCCTCCCCCCAATCCCCAGCTCTAACCCTGGGAGTTGTGGACGTCCAACATTTTGGGAGTGCAACGACCAAAGACGTTTGTAACAGCTTGTTACGAGCCCGGAATGCGGCCTGAGTCGACCAAATCTCCCCCTATTCCCTCCCCCTCTCCCTCCCACCTGAACCCCCGAGCCCTCCCCCCCACCTCCAGTCTCTCCCTTCTTCCCCTCAGGCTCTCTGCAACGTTTCCAAAGCCTTTCTGAGTAAATCTGCTTCAATCCCCCCACCCCCCCCTCCAGTGACCCCCTTCTTCCCCTCGGGCTCGCTGCATTTCCTCCAAGACTCCCTCTGGGCCTTCACCAAACCAACCCTCCTTCTATACCCCTTTTCCTTCCCCTCCCTCCCCTCCCACACACCCCCACCCCCTTCCCCCTTCCTCCCCATTCCCTCCCCCCCACCCAGTCTCCCCCTTCTTCCCCCCGGGCTCTTTGCAATTCCTCCAAGACCCCCTCTGGGCCTTCACTAACCAACTTCCTGCCTATTTCCTCTATTCCCCCTCTCTCTCTCCTCCTATCTCCCCACCACCAGTCTCCCCCTTCTTCCCCTCAGGCTCGCTGCAATTCCTCCAGGACCCCCTCTGGTCTGGGCCTTCACCAACCCCCGTGTGTGATAAGTCGATGTTTGAGTCGACTCACCCCTGCATTTCATCCAAGTCCCCGTCTGGGCATTCACCAAAAAACTCCCCTCCTCCCATTCGTTTCCCCATTCCTCCCATTCCTTCTCCCTCCGTTTCCCCCACCTCTTTCTCCTTTCCTCCTTCTTATCACCACCAGTCTCCCCCTTCTTCCCATCAGGCTCGCTGCAATTCCTGCACGACCCCCTCTGGGCATTCATTCACCTAGTAAACTTTCCTCCAATTCCATCTCCCCCTTCCTTTCCCCTCCCTTCTTTCCCCCTGCGACCTCTCTCCTCGGCCACCAGTCTCCCCCTTCTTCCCATCAGGCTCGCTGCAGTTCCTCCAAGACCCCCTCTGGGCCTTCATCAAGCCAACTTTCTGCAATTTCTCTTCCCACCGCCCACCTCCTTCTTGCCCCTCCCTCTCCCCTCTCCTCGGCCACCAGTCTCCCCCTTCTTCCCATCAGGCTCGCTGCAGTTCCTCCAAGACCCCCTTTGGGCCTTCACGAAGCCTGCTGCTGCTCCTGCGCCTGCCTCAACTGCGAAAGAGGTGAGAGCGGAGCAGATTGAACGGTGTGGTGTGGTGTGGTGTGGTGTGGTGAGGTGTGGTGTGGTGTGGTGTGGTGTGGTGTGGTGTGGTGTGGAGTGGATTCCTGCTCCTGCTGCCTGTAATTAGAAACCTAACAGCCTGAAAACTTGAAATGCTCTAATTCCCTATTACGTTCCTCTCTGCTCCACCCTCGCAGCTCTCACCAGAGCACCTCCTCCAGATTGACTAAGAGGCATTGGAAAAACACCAGCAGGCTGCTGCTGCCGCCGCCGCCGCTGCTGCTGCTGCTTTAGGAACCATTCGCTTGTTACATTCGCTTAAGCAGCAGCAGCGGTTGCGGCGAATGTAATAGGTTATCCTATTACATTCGCTTGTGCCCTTCCCTGCCCAACAACCCCTCACAGCTCTCCCCAGAGCTCCTCCTGCAGTTCGACCCAGAGGCATTGGAGAAACACCTGCAGGCTGTGCCACTGTATAAGAATGCTGCATAGACATCCCACTTTTCGCTTTTCCCATTATCCCCCTCCCCTCTCTCCCTTCCCCCTCACAGCTCTCCCCAGAGCAGCTTCTGCAGTTCGACTCAGAGGCGTTAGAGAGGCACCTGCAGGCTGTGCCGCTGCCGTCGCTGCTGCTGCTATCCCCCTGTGATCGAGCCACCTTCTTCCCCGACGAGGTAACACACCCCTTGCTAGGCGGAGTGCTTACCATGCTGGTAAGCTCACCATAAAGCACACCCTGCTGCTGCTGTCTGCCTGTGATCGAGCCACCTTCTTCCTTCACAAGGTAACACACCCCTTGCTAGGCGGAGTGCTTACCATGCTGGTAAGCTCACCATAAAGCACACCCTGCTGCTGCTGTCCCCCATGATCGGGCCACCTTCTTTTCGGACGAGGTAACACCAAGCTGTATGCTGACCATGTTTGTATGCGAATACCATTCACGTAGGGACTACAGGCCAAAGCTTGCACCACTTGCTGTTGCTGCTGTTCAGGGTTGTATGCTAATGCAATTGGAGAGGCACCTGCAGGCTGTGCCGCTGCCGTCGCTGCTGCTGCTGCTATCAACCGGCACAGCAGCAGTCCCAACCGAGTCAGGATGTCTCCTCCCTTCTCTCCCACTGGTGGCTGGATCCTGGGTGTTATGCCACGGAGGAGAGAGCGACTGGGTGGCGGTTGTTTAAGTTTTCAGTTCTCTTTCCTCTGCATCCCTTGACTCACTACTACCAGGCACAACAGCAGTCCCAACCAGGTCAGGACATTTCTTCCTCTCTCTCCCACTGGTGGCTGGATCCTGGGTGCTATGCCACGGATGAGAGGGACCAGAGGCTGTGGTTGAATCATCTCCTTCCCTCTTCCTCTGCATCCCGTGACTCCCCACCAGCAGGTGCAGCAGCAGTCCCAACCAAGTCAGGACATTTCCTCCTCTCTCTCCCACTGGTGGCTGGACCCTGGGTGCTATGCCACGGATGAGAGGGACTGGGTGGCAGTTGAGGCGATTCACAGTGGTGCAGGGGAGTTGGGGGTGGTTCGGGACGAGGAGGGTGATAGTAAAGGAGGGCAAGATTTGGAAAGGGAGCTCGGGGGGGAGAATGATTTGCAGCAGCAGCAGCAACTGCAGCAACAGACGCAGCTTCAAGAGTCCTCGCTACTTTTAACACCACAGCCTGCAGCAGCAGAGCAGCAGCTAGAACAGCCTGGGCAGCAAGCAGGAAGTAAGAATGTTGAGCATGGGCATGGGCTGGCAGGGGTAGATGATTTGGATGAGCTGCTGGGAGGACAGCTAGGGAGCAGCAGCGGTGCAACCAGAAAAGAGAATCTGCCGATGAAGCAGCAAGCAGAAGCAGGGGCAGAAGCTCCTGTGAAGGTGCATGGGCATGGGAATGTGCATGGGCATGGGAATGTGCATGGGCATGGGAATGTGCATGGGCATGTGCATGGGAATGTGCATGGTTTTGCAGAGGAAGATGATTTGGATGAGCTGCTGGGAGGGCAGGCAGGAAGCAGCAGAGGTGCAATTGCAACCAAGGGAGAGGTCAAGGCAGCAGGTGGTTCTGGTGTGGCCAATGTAAGTGCTGCACAGGTGACGCCAGCGGCAGCGCCACAGGCACCCGCACTGGATGATTTTGATGAGCTGCTAGGAGGGCAGGCAGGAAGCAGCAGCAGAATCACAAGTGCAAGCACGGGAGAGAGGAAGGCAGCAGGTGGTTCGGGTGTGGCTAAAGTAGGTGCTGCACAGGTGAAGCCTGAACTGAAGGCAGCAGCTGCACCACCAGCACTAGATGATTTTGACGAATGGTTCGATTCTGTTACGTAGTTAGTATCTGGTGGTTTGATGAATTTTTTTATTCTGTTTACGTAGATATCCATAGTGATTTCATCCATTGCCGCGGAACATTTCTGGGCTCCCTCCACCTGGTTATGTAGTACAGCAACTTGGGATATAGTTAAATAATCCAGCAAAAAACTCTCATACACAATGTAGTTCTTTGAATTTCTGCCTTGTACATATCACAGGCGTCTTGTAACGGGCTCGGCCAAGTCTGTCCCTCCCCTCACTCACGCTTATCCAAACATGTGCAGCATCACACCTAGCCAACCATCGCCAGTCGCATCGCGTCGCATCCTTCAGATTGCTCATCCTAATTCATTACAGAAATCGCACGGTTGTCATTAATCCTGGAGCGTCGATCGCCATACTCTCCTGAGTTTAGCCGTCGATGCAGGTGACACGAGCGCGCACAGATCAGAATGCGACATGCCACGTGTACCAAGCCCTGCCACGCTGCATGCTCTATCGGTCACACGGTGCGAGCTCGAGAGCTCACATCGATCGTTCATAGATCAACTAGGGCCGTCACGCCTCGTGCATGCCAAATACAGATTCACTTCTGAGAATTCCATCAAACACTGACGTCTCAAACATACAGCCCATCCCATCAAGCCCCAAGCCCCATCAGATTCCATCAAACGCTGACTCACAGTTCAGTCGGTCTCCACTCCACGCCTCGTGCATGCTGTTTCCTTACCCCCTCACGCCTAGCCCGGGATTCTCACGCCTAGTAGCCCCACCCGAAGCTTGCTTCCCATGCCGCTCTCTCAGAAACCAGCGACTGTATGGCCGTCGATCACGCGGAAGGCGACATGGCCTTGGAGTTACCACTTGCAAGGATTTTGCCGCATTTTGCAAGAATTTCCAGAAAATCCCGCGAGACGGTAACCCGGCATCATACGAACAGGTGATCCAGCCAGGGGTAACGCGAGATAGCTGCATGTCACCATCCCATCCGCTCCCTTTTCAACACACCCTGCTTCCCTTGTCTCTGCTCCCTCTCCAGTTAGTTCAGTCTTCCGTTTTATCCCGGGGACAAAAACCCCTTGCTCTCATCGTGCGTATACGTTCTGCCTCGGTACTATCTGTTCCATTACTACTCTTGCCGCTGCGATATCTCACGTGCTGTTCTCGCTGCTCAAGCTAGCTGCTGCTGGTTGCTCCTGTCTCCTCTGACGATTCTCACGCTCGCTGCTGCTTCCTTCTCCACCTCGTTCTCCCTGGGTCTCTTGTTTCTCACGCTCGTTGCTGCTCAGATGATACATGACTGACTGACGCCCATGGGTCGGACGGTGCGGTAGCAGGGCTCATAGCAGCTCTGCTTGCCACGTGGCTCACCAGATGGATGCTAGTGGGCGCTCCGCATGGTGAATCGCATGCCATAATTACATCCAGACCGTACGTTGCCTTATCATAAGATGATATACTTGTTATGCGCTTGATGTTTCCCTTTCTGTTATGCTTCTTGCTGTTTTCAGTTCTGTACTGTACCTTTTTGTACTTGTTGTCGTTACGAATTTTGTACACTTGAGTTTACACGTGATTTCAGCCTTATGTCATGGGTCACGGCGCCCGCCCGCCAGCCTTTACAAACACACGCTCTTACATCTTGTACTTGCTTCCTAGCTCATGCCATGTCACGCCATGCTATCCCTTGCCAGCCCATGTCATCCTTGGGATGTCAATGTGTTATCCCGTGAAATATCAATGGTATTATATTGCTTCTTTTCGAAGCATGCAAGCTGGTGAAGCAGCATCCTAATTTGTGGCAAAGATTCTGCACGTTCTTAACTTTCCTGTTTGATATCAATCGCGCTCACACTGTGCTTTGTTATGAAATTTCTGCAAAATTCTTGTTGTTCCTTACAGCTCCCTCAACTGGCAAACATCTCTCCGCAAGCACCCGACCCTTTGGCGCAAGAATTCAAGCCTTTGGGATCAGTCAATCTCATAATATGCGATGCGTTGTTCCAATCTCAACCCATCCTCCTATTGCCTCTTGCCCCTTGCAGCTCCCTCAGCTGGCAAGCATCTCATCTCAGCGCAAGCACCGGAACCATTGACGCAAGTAGCCAAGCCTTTGTTGGGTCTTACTGGTGTAAGTTGGAGCTGTGTTCAAGTCCTATAAAGTCATGGCTTATAAACATGATAAAGTGTATGTGAACTGTGTGGTTGGCCAGGCTCCGCTCCTACCCTAACATGATGGCTTATACCATACATGATAACGCATCATCTTGCATGATTCATCTTGCACATGTTCATGGCAGGTAACTGATCATGCGTGGTAGGTAGAATTGCTGAATGACAGACAGCCGATAATGTGGCCACGAAATCTGAATCTCACCACTTTTCATTTTCCATTTTTTTTTTCTTCTGGCATTTGTAGCGCGCTCACACCATGTGCATCGTTGCAATGAAATCTTATGGTTGCTCCTGCTCTCCCCCCACTCTGCCATGCATGTGCAACTCTCCTCCCAGCCCACAGACAGTAGCACCCAACCTGGTGCCAATTCACTCTTATCCTACCTTCAACATGTTTGTTCCTTCGGCTTCTGATATCGCATGCATGTGCAACTCTCCTCCCAGCCCACAGGCAGTAGCACTCAACCTGGTGCCAAGTCACTCTTATCCTACTTTCAACATATTTGTTACTCGGCCATGGCTCTTCGGCCTTTCAAGGAGCCGTTATCTCTCCTTCAGCTTATTCGTCATGCGCGCACGGCCTATCATTTTCTGGTGGTACGTGAATGTGGACTTTGTTCATGTCTCTACTGGCAGGGTTAATGCCTTTAAGTTTGTTTGAATGTGAGTAGAAAGGCAAGCGACCCTTACAGTGCAGCATTCAACAACTGCAGGAGAGAGGGTATGTTGACTATCTACTTACATACATGTAGCTCAGCTGGTGGTGGGTAGAGGTTTTGCTGCTGCGGCACCCCTTGGCTGTGTGTTTCCAAAGCTACAGTTTTCCCTTGCTGCACTGAGTTATATATTGTATTCACATTCCTATGATATTTCGGTCCTATGTTATGTTATGTAGCAGTCTATGTTCGATTCGATCTTGACCTCCCAGTATCTAATTTCAAAGTGCACTCTGTTCCTCAGGTGTTCATGATAGAACAGGTTCGCACGTCCCTCATGGATTTACACTTTGTTTCTTTGCAGGTTTCCGTTTCTGCATAGCCGGTGCTGCTATCTGTGCTCTTGTGGGCATGCACGTCTTTCATTGTATTCGAAACAAGGCCTTCACACTTGAGCCGTTCATCATGAGGTAAACTGTAAAGGAGGTGGAGGCAGGGGGGGCAGGCAATGTGAGGTCGTTTTTGAGGCGCCTCAAAAACGACTGTAAAGGAGGTGGAGGCAGGGGGGGCAGGCAACGTGGATGCGGTTACAGGGCGAGGGCTGAATGACGAGGTGGGGAGGAGGAGCAGTGAGGAGGGAAGGGGTGAGATACTAGAGTTGCATGGTGATTTGAAGGGGGAGTTGTCTGCTGAGTACTGGTGGGCTTTCACCAAGCCGTCTGCTGCTATTCCTTCTCTACAACCCCAACCCCCTTTTCCCCCATCTCCTCTTGCGCTCTATCTCCCCGCCACCAGTGTCCCCTTTCTTCCCCTCGGGCTCGCTGCAATTTCTCCGAGACCCCTCTGGGTTTTCACCAAGCCAACTTCCTTCCTCTTCCCACCGCCCACCTCCCTCTTGCCCCTCCCTCTCCCGTCTTCCCCGGCCACCAGGGTCCCCTTTCCCCTCGGGCTCTCCGCAATTCCTTCAAGACCCCCTCTGGGCCTTCACTAAGCCTGTTGCTGCTGCTCCACAATCCCCCTCAACTGCGAAGGAGGTGAGAGAGGTGTAGAGTCAGGATAACTGAGATGAGAAGTAAGCTAATATGATTGCAATCGACTTAAGCTATGATTTGGAGCCTTGGCTAAGCCCTCCTCTGCTTCTGCTGCTCCTCCATCCTCCCCATCAACCGCAAACGAGGAGAGAAAGGAGCTGTTGTCGTTTTTATATTGTGCCTAAAAAACGAGGTCAGAGAGGAAGAGATTAGACGGCGTTGTTTGGACCTTCACGAAACCGGCTGCTGCTTCTAATAAAAACGTCAAGCTCGAAAACCTGAGACCCAGATTCCGAAACTCTAACTCTATGTTTCCCGATTCTGAGACTCCAATGTTAATACCTTATCATCCTTCCACTTCCTTGTTGTTACTTCCATCATAGCTCTCCCCAGAGCACCTCCACCAGCATATTGGAGCAAAACATATATCTTCGGTTTCAGTGATTTTGTGTCGCATTTGGACAGTAGATGTCAATAGCCATGTCAAGAATGCATGTTATTGGATATGGCTGTTGATATTTGTTGTCCAAAATGCGACACAGAATCACTGGAGCCGAAGATATATGTTCTGCTCCAATATGCTTTGTTCCTCACTTGTCACTGTGTCCCTCCCTTGCCATTGTGTCCCTCCCTTGCCATTGTGTCCCTCCCTTGCTTCTCATTCTTGTGTTTCTGATTCTTTTTTCCTGTCCCTTTTGGCTTTCCCTCACAACTCGCACCAGAGCATCTCCTGCAGTTTGACCCAAACACATTGGAGAAGCAGCTGCAAGGGCTGTGCCACTGCCGTCCATGACCCCCCATGACTGAGCCACCTTCTTTCCGGATGAGGTAACACTCCGTTGAAGGTGTGTACAGACCATGTTTGCATGCTAGTGCCCTGCCTGCCATCCATGGTGTGTGCTTCCATGTTAACGTGCCAGTGCCCTGCCTGCCATCCATGTAGAAACACACACACCAAGTCTGCACAGCCTGCTGCTGCTGCTGTCCTCCCGTGACCGAACCACCTTTCCACACGAGGTAACAATCCGTTCAAGGTGTGTGCAGACCATGTTTGTGTGCTAGTGCCCTGCCTGCCATCCATGTAGAGAGCACACACCAAGCCTGCACAGCCTGCTGCTGCTGTCCCCACATGACCGGGTCTTCTTTCTGGACGAGG